TTGTATCCTTTTGGGAAGGACCTATTTCAAATGTCTTTAAAATCTTTGAAGGAGGGTTTAAGTCATAGGAATCCACATTATAGGTTGAAGGGGTTCTTGGTAGCTTTTCAAGTGTGGATATATGAGTGTATTCCCGGACTATGCGGACTTGTGACGATGAGGATGGATAACAGTTATCCTCGAATTGTGAATTGGATGTCGGACAAACAGCCATCTGCTATTAAGTTGGAAGATGTCTTCTCCAGTCATGATGTAAGTCTTTTATCCCTTTTTTTTGCACAGGTCACAAGGTTACAAAGATTTTTGAATAAGTCACAAGTTATTATACATGAATGCACGGATCACACACTTTGTCTAGTTACATGTACTATTTTCAATAGTCCCGGGTCACAATTCATTTTGCTGCATTTGAGGTCTATACCACTAACAAGTGATTCTTGTGTATTCTTGTCACAGTTTGAAATTTGTTTTGTTGTTCCGTCTGACATGGAGTTGGAGGCTCAATATATGAATGGTGTTTTGTACACCAAACCTATGCAACCACGTGTTCATGGACATCGGAAGTTCAAAGGTTCAGACTCAAGTGCTGGCACATCCCATCCACGGATGCTGATGATTACAGATGGAGGAAGGGACACACCAGTGCCGGTGAGGATGATGATGACGACGACTTTGTTGTTCCACCTCCCAAAAAACAGAGGATACCAACTGTGTACATATCCTCCGACGAAGAGCGGGCAAGTGATAACGTTAATATGATGTTACAGGCAAGCGAAGGTTGTTTGCCGAGTGAGCCGATGTCGACACGAGCACATGATGCACCTCAAGCAGATGTAAGTTGGTGTACAAAACACTTGTTAAGTCACAAAATCAGTTGTTACTCTTTACTGTAGTTCTTGCTAACAAGTTCATTGTGGCATGTTGTATATGTCCAGGTCCATGTTCAGTTGAAGAAATTGAATGTGAAAATGTCTGAGATGCAGTTGAAGTATGCAAAATTAAATGTGCATCTGAATGAGGTCAAGTCACAAGTACTGTCATTGCAGGCGGATCGCAAAAATAAAGTGAACCAGATTATCCGAATGCAAAGGGAGATTAAATGTGACATGATGGATATACGGTCCAACATGATGCTTCTGTCTGATTCTGTGACTGGCTTGATTTCAAGTACGATGGACGCCATTTTGGAAAAGTTTAAAGAGAATAATAATAGAAAAGGTGATGTAGTTGAAGAGCAACCACAAGTGAAAGTAAGTAGAATTATGAGTTTTGAATTGTTTTTAATATTTCTTAAAGTTTGTCAAGTAATATGTCTGCTGCATTCAGGGTGCAACACGTGATCAATATGTGGACAGGAAAGGAAAGGGTAAGTTGGAATCTGCTGGAGTAGTTGAATACCCATATTTTCCTTCAGCACCGTCGTTTGATCTGGGGATTTAATGTACACCAATCACTTCGGGTGTGGTAAACCTTAATGAAATGTTCCAAACGACAGAAGTACAAGAACGTGTTGATGATGTAATTGCTGGTGTGCTTGAATGGATTGTTACTGATGATGTAGAGGTTGAGACGACGAAGGAACAAATGGAGGGGATTGAGGTATTGCTAAACTTGTTTCATATTTCAATGAAGTCACAAACACAGGGAATGCTTAAATGTGAATTTATTTGACTGACACAAGTCACACACATAGCTCAACTTGGTCACAAGTTCACAGATCACTTATCTACTTCAATTTCATCGTTTTGTAGATATCACCACCATCAGCTCTGTCATCTGGCTTGCCTATTAAGCCGGCTCCCAAACCCACTAGACTACTACAATCCCCATATGTCACAGGAGGTGGAAAACAAAGCAAGCAGTCAGATGATATAGTTGTTTTCGATATCCATGATAAGCCAGCAGATGAGGTTGATGTTGTGACATTTAAAAATTGGTTTAATAGAGGTTACAAACCAAGAAACAAGTACGTCAAGCTAATATTCTGTGAAATTTGTTTGTGTTCAAATGTAAACTACGTCTTCATATTCAGATGTCATTGTATTTTTATGTTGTAAGGAAAAAATTCAATGATGCCGATGACGTGATCCGACCTACGTTTCTCATTGGGTCTTTAACTGTGGGGTAAAAAACATGGTGGCATGAGCTTATTGTTTAGAATCATCTCTTAGCAGCAAGGTATGTCTACTGTACATAGTTTTTGTGTTTAGTTGGATTGCCACAAGTCAGAGTTTATATGCCGGGATACCAAGTTATATAAATTTCAGATTTATAGGTCTCAAATGACAGTTTCATGCACTTGTCACATGTGGAAAACTACTGCAGTTAGGTGCCCAGTTTTGATGAATTCAGCATATCTCATTTATGCATACAACTCATTGGTCACAGAGTGTAGGTGTATGGCACAAATCACATTAATGGGCGGAAGGCATAGGTTATACAGTCTTGTCAATCCACACATGTCACATGTTTCTCATATGGTCACATATAAGACTCACAATTGATTATACCAGTGTCACACAACAATCTGACAAATGTGCATTTAATTTTGTCAGCATATGGATGTATGTTTCTATTACCTACGGCAATTTGCAACAAGAAGTCTGCTTGCCAGAGTGAGAGCTACCACGACAGATTCGTTGTTCTAGGGGAAGATCAAAAATATGTTTGCCCATTTCATGGAAGACCCTAATGTAGTTACGACAGATTCCTACATTGTTGAAGTTGCCACAGGTGGTCAGATAGAATACAACCGTCCTTGGGCTGATGTCGATTATTGTTGTTGCCAATTTTGCCAACAAATCGTGCTCACTGGATGCTTGGGTGTTTGAACTTAAGTAAGCGTGTCCTCTACATATTTCATTCCAGCTATAAGACTTATCGGGATAAAATGGTTAATACCGAGATTGAACCATTTGCAAGAATTATCCCCCATTTGATGCATAGTTTGGGTATACGGGAAAAAAGGTCTGATGCTGCTGATCCTCTGGGGATGACGATCATGATTGCTGATAACATACCGCATCAATAGAATGGGTATACTTGTGACTTAATTTTCTATTGTTCGCTGTTAGTTTTTACACCCTGATTTGTGATATGATTGTTTTTTTTTTTTTTTTAGTTGTGATCAGGCATGATTGTGGCATTTTTGTGATTAAGTATGCAGAATACATGCTTCACAACGCCATGATGATATGTCGATGACCTTTGATGCTGGCCAAGAAAGGTTGGACATTGCTACACGTCTATTTAAATAAAAGGAGATGAAGAAGGCCACAAAGCCGTGAAGTCGAAAGGAGTTAGCATTGTCATAGAATGATAGTTGGATGTCTATATTTTGGAAGTAGATGCTGAGTAGGAAAGACTGGATGTTTTATGAAGTAGCATATAATTTTTTTGAATCGGTTGAATGTTTAAGAAGTGGCATATGA